CCATGGTGCGTGCTCGGGCCACTTCTGCACCCCGGAGGGCCTTCGTCCTGCTGGCTCTGGTGCTGGTCGCCGGGCTGGCGCCGGGGGCCAGGGGGGAGGGCGGGGGCGAGAGGAGGGTGAGGAGGAGGAGCCCGAAGGAGAGAGATTACGAAAATAAATTGGTGAATGGCGAAGATGAGACTGTGGCCTACGAGAAGGTGAAGGACACCCTGAGGAGTATCTTCGCGAAGGGCGTCGAGCCTGACCACGCAGAGGACGAGAGCATCAAGGACTACCTCGAGCCGGACTTCGACGACCCAGGCGCTTTTTCGAAGCAGATACCTGGCAGGAACGACCTGTCCGAGGCTACGAGTTCCCTAAGGTCGTCTCCAACGCGACGACGCGGTCTTGTGCAAGACGACGAGGAACTCCTGGAAGGTGCAGAGGACCTGGCGAAGCGAGGCTATGCTAACGCCCACAGCAAGCTCCACTCCGCCGCCCACGGAGGGAGGGAGCACACAAAGGCCTTCCTGAACGAGTGGGCGGTGCACATGACGGGCGGCCAGGAGCTCGCTCGGTCCGTGGCCAAGGACCTCGGCTACCAATTCCTCGGCCAGGTGAGTCCGGCGCCGTGCCTCTGTTTATGCTGTCGTCCCTCCCCGCGGAACACAAATAGATTTCCTAAGGGCATCGCCCTAAACAAATTAATTGACTAATATTTGAGCAAACCACGAACCATAAAACGAACGCATCAATAAGTCTAGACATTGTTTGCACATATTTTTACTAGCATCAATATACAGCCCAGGTGTCAAGACCTAAACATGTACTTAGTTCAAACTTGCCTGATAAAGGATTACTTACTTGTGTAACTTAAGAATAACTGAAGTTTCGTTTTCACTTCCATCGCCTGACTCAATCCATTTTTTTAAAGAATCCCTTTCTCTCTCTCTTTTTTTCTAGACATCTCCCTCATTTGTAGAAAAAAAAACATGGCATGCAGTTGTAAAAGTAGAGCTATGTAATGAAGTGCAAATGAGGTGTGTTTTAAAAAGTATCATTAAAATTACTCATTTAATTTCTGATGAATATTCAACCGAAACGCGCCAGTTACGTCCCCTGCGTAGTGAGGTCACAATGAGCTTTCTTCATCTCTTTTCTTCTCTTCATCTTCATAGTAACAGTAGTGCAGCAGTAGTAGTAATAGTAACAGTAGTAACCGTTATAGCAGCAGCAGTAGTAATATTGGTGGTAGCAACAACAGCATCAGTGGTAGTAGTAGTAGTAGTAATAGTAGTATTAGTGATAATGATCATATGATTGGATGGTAATAATGACAATAACAATAACGATAACGACAATAATAATAATGTTATCATAAATGCAAATTAGACAACGACAAGTAACACAATTATGAATGATAAAGGAAGTTATACGAATTCTAAGATAAACATCTTGAAAACCAAAAAATATTATTGACGCATTTCGCCTCCATCGATATATGTCAGTTGTATCCCTTGCTTTAAGAGGTTATTAAGTTTCATCCATATTTTCTATATGTCATAGTGATCGTTCTTCACATTCGTTTAAGAAATTACGAAAAATAACAACAGCAACAACAACAAAGGCAATAATGACAGAAATCCTTAAAAATAAAAACTTGAAAATAGGGATATTGCTTGAAAAAAGGTCTTTTAAGTTCCATTTATTTTGTACTTATTAACACTGTATCGAGACAAAGATGCAGCAGAGAGGTTGGAAATAACTTGAACGATTACAAACTATCATTAACTTCCATCATATATCAATATTCGCCTCAATACATAGAAAAATGACGTAAAATGTTGTATATTTACTCCAGATCCCACCCCACCCCCCCACACACAATAAATACCAAAATAAATAGAGGATGTTAATACAGAATTTGCATCTGTCATCCATCCACAACCACATGGGTTCACTGAGAATATGGCTTCAAGATGTAGAGAATTATTGTCTATTGTCTATTGTACACCTTACCATCTACCGTTATGCTGCATTCCTATAAAGCTTTCATATTAGCATGTTAGTTTGCTACTTGCATTAGCTATTGCATTGTTTTGATTTACTGTGAATGTAGGCATTGTCTATACTTTTGATGCTACATTACTAAGGTGATATCAATGTTCACTCATTGAACTAGTGTTATTATGACTTGGATATTTGGAAAACATGTACTAGGTATGCAATAAATACTGACCTGCCTATATTTTTTTCCTAATATGGATTCTTAAGGATATTAATTTTGAGAAAATGGGAAATGTTCCATAACATAGACAATTTAAAACAGTGAAATCGACAGCATTTTATAATTCATTTTTGGGAGTGAAGAAATTATGATCTAACATTGCAATTAAGCTGCAATACTTCACTAAGAACTACCGCGAGGAATACTCGCTTGTCAGAACCCAACCTTATAAATATTTCCAAAATATGTGATTCCAACGATGATTATGCATCACGAGGGTGAGGTTAGCCTTTACTTATTTTATTTATTCATCTATCTATCTGTTTATCTACTTTCGTCTGCATTCGTTGTAGAATCATAGTGCCGTATTCTGAAACTTTTCTGGAGAACCAGGAATTTACTGGAAATGTATAACAATCTCCCATGTTGATAATATGACAGAAAAAAAGGAGAATGAAATGTTGAAAATCTATATTGCGTATTGTGCATTTTTCCGTAAACGAAAGTGTAGAGTTGCAGGAGCATAACATCTTTGTCAAGATGGACAGAAGGCAAATAAGAGTGATTGCTGACATACTCATTTATGACAAGGAAAACTTAAATAAGTCTCATGAAATGTGGACCAAACTGAATATACAGTCGAGGAGCGAAGACCGAAAAGGAAAAAAAAAACAAAAACATATTTAGGCTTCTTGTAGTATCGGTTATTGCCACTTGCTTGTGGTTTGAGTTCTAAATGTAATAAGAAGCTGGCGTTATTTTTTTATTATTTTTATCTATTTATTTATCTTTATTTTACTATTATTATTTTTACTGAACCTTCCTTTCCCAAATACTTTTCTTCCTTGCTTCTTCCTACCGTTTTAGTTTGGGTCTTTACGTTCCTCTTTCCCGTTCCTTCGTCCTAGTGACTCACTGTATCACCCCCCCCCCACCCCCCTCATCACAATTTCCGACAGATTTGGAGCAAAACCCGAGTAAGAGTTTGGTGACAGAGAGGGCATTCACTGAGGAGAGAAATGTGAAGTGTCTTTGCAGAGTGTGTATGTCTGTGGTTTAAGCTGGTGGTGTTTTTTGCACGTTTGTTCTTAGTCTTTCTTTCTATTTTATTATATATTTTTCTAAGTCTCTCTCTTTCTTTCTTTCTTACACTCTCTCTCTCTCTTCCTCCACTTCTCTCTCTCTCTCTCTCTCTCTCTTCCCATCTCTCTCTCTCTCTCTCTCTCTCACACACACACACACACACACACACATACCTCTCTCTCTCTCTCTCTCTGAATTTCTCTCTGCCTGTCCTCCTGTGTGTGTGTGTGCGTGTGTGTATGTGTGTGCGTGTGTGTAAGTGTGTGTGTGTGTGTGTGTGTGTGTGTGTGTGTGTGTGTGTGTGTGTGTGTGTGTGTGTGTGTGTGTGTGTGTGTGTTTGTATGTTTACGTTAAAGAACCCTCGCCGATTTTTCCCCATGTTAATCGCTCCTCACAGCACTCGACCCACTGGCCCAACGAGCGAACGGGTACGTGGAATCTGGAGCCTCGTAAATGCATTTGTCATGCGTAAATTTATTTTATTCATTAATACATCATATCTATCTATCTGTCTGTCTACTTGTCTATATTTGGTTATCTATCTAATTTTCTATCTATCAATCAACCAATCAATCAGTCAATCTGTCACACACACACACACACAACCACCCAACCACACACACACACACACACACACACCCAACCAACACACATGCATAAATGTATATACATGCATATGAATATCTACACACACACACACACATATATCTAAATATACTTAAAGACAAACCCATATACATGCTCCAGCGTTAATTCAAGAACCCACGAACTGCGTCCACTCTGACCCATATTTCGAATACGTGTAAATATCGACGCTTCAATGACCTTGCTCTCGCACCTGGCCCCGGGAGTGCGCATGGAGAGGCAGGTAATGAGGTTAGGGGAAGGGAAGGAAATGATTTCGGATTTACGCTGAGGAATGAAGTTGTTGTTGTTGGTGTTAATGTTATTAATGAAGTTATTATCGTTATCGTCAACTTTGTTATTATCATGATGTTCTTGTTAATAATAATAATAACAAAAATAGAAATGGTAATGATAATAACAAAAAATAATGGTAATGATTATTATTATCATTATGATTACTGTTATTATCAATGTCATTATGATTATTGTTATCATTAATATCATTATCATCATCATTGTCATTATGATTATCATTTTCATTCCTTTTATAACTAATAATGTTATTATTACCATTATTATCATTATCATCGTTATTATCATTATTATTACCAGTATCATTTTTACTGTCTCTATTAGTGTTATTATTATTATTACTATCATTATTACTAATATTATTATTATTTATTTTTATCGTTATTGTTATTATTATCACCGCTATTATCATTATTACTATTATCATTATCATTATTGTTATGTTTATTATCATTATTATCATTATCTTTGTTATCATTATCATTATAATAACAACAACAATAATAATAATAATAATAATTATGATAATAATAATAATAATAATAATAATGATAATAATAATAATAATAATAATAATAATGATAATTCTTCTTCTTATCATTATTCTTATTCTTATTATCATTATCATTATTATTATTATTAATGATATCAAATACGATTATCTTTTTCATCATTATAATTATTATCAATATTAGTATTGTTACTATTATTGTCATCATAATTATTATTACTATCATCATATTTTTTTTTATGAACAGTACAACTGTAAATGAATTGTTATTACTAATATTACTAATTGTTATTACTAATTGTTATTACTGTTGTTCTTGTTATTATCAAATTATTATAATGTATTATTATTATTGTTATAGTTGTTATTTTTGTTGTTGTTATTTCTATTATTATTATATTATAATCATCAATATTATTTTTATTATCGTTATCACTATCATTATCAATATTAATATTGTTATTATTATTATTGTTATCATTATTATAATCATCATCATCATTATTAATATTACTATTGTTGTTCTTGTTATCATCATCATTATTATTATTATTATCATTATCATTATTGCTATTATTATTATTATTATCACTATCATCATTATTAATTTTGATCATTATTGTTATGATGGCTATAATTATCATTATCATCATTATTCATAATAATCATTATTATTGTTACTATTGTCATTATTATCATTATCATCATTATTGCTGTTGTCGTTGTTATTATCACTATCATTACTGTTATTATTATCATTAATTATAATTATTATTGTTATTGTTATTATCATCACTATTATTGTTATTATTATTATCAATATAATCATTATGAATTTCAGGTTTATCATTATCATTATGATTATCATTATTGCCATTTTTATTATCATTATTATTATTATTATTATCATTATTATTACCATTATTATTATTATTATTATTATTATTATTATTATTACTATTATTATTATCATTATTATTATTGTTAATATTGTTATTATTATTATTATTATTATCATTATTATCATTATTATTATTGTCATTATTATTATCATTATTATTATTGTCATTATTATCATTATTATTGTTACTATTATTATTATTATTTTTTTATTGTTATTATTATTATCACTTTAATCATTATTACTATTTTCATCATTATTATTATTATCGGTATTTTATTACTATTATTATTATTAATAGTAATAGTAGTAGTAGTACTAGTAGTAGCAGTAGTAGTATCAATGGTATTATTACTATCATCATTGTTATTAATATCAGCATTATCATTATAAATTTTATTATCATTATCCTTGCCATCAACATTATTATCATTATCACTCTTATTATTATCAAAAGGACCACTATAGTTTCTATCAGTGTCATTATCTCGAATGAAGCCTAATCACAGAGTGTATAATGTACAAACTCGACCTCAAAGCAGTGAATTTGACAGTGAATTAATTATTCATTCATTCTATACTTATTAATGTATTTTTTTTAGAGGTTAAGATGATAAGTATTTGATAATTAATATGATAATTGTATGATAAATGATAGGTAACTGGCGGATTGATGATGATAATTATTGGATAACTAATTAGTTGATAGTCATTCGATAATTGATAAAATGGTGGTAAAAATTATTGGGAGTTTGTGAGGATGATGAGCTGAAATAAAACGATATAATACGAAATCCCAATTCCAAAAAAAAAGAAAGAAAAAAAGAGAGGAAAAAATAGGCCTATATTTACCATTACATCCCTCTATCTAATATCCCCCCTCACCCCCCCACGTCACGGAAGGGCAAGGCAAGACCCTCGGCGAATAATCTACTGTCAACGAATAGAGATAATACTGATAAGGGACTTAATAGAATGGGCGAGTCTTGTGTGAATTGCTCTCGAAGCCGCATGGAGAAACTAGCCGAGAAAATGTGATTATTTCATATTTTTTCCTTTCTTTTTTTGAAGAGGATGTGTCTAAAAGCTGAGGTTTTGTGGTGACATTGGGTATGAAGGATAAAGAATGAAAATAATAACGATAAGAGTGAGAGGAATGACAGAATTGAACGACATTAATGACGAAAATGAGGAGGATAATGATGATGATGGTGACCATAATAATGATAACGATAACGGTAATAATAATGATGATGGTGATGATAATGATAAGGTGATGTTTTATTCATCTAGGCAATCTCTCGCTATCAAAGAGGGAAAGTCAAGCAATATGTACTGTATGAAAACGGGCATCACTGTATTTGTTCACATAAGTGTCTTCAAAAGTACGTTCATGTATAGATAAAATGTGACGCTCGGGTATGCTTTTCACTTCGTAATAAATCTAATATGGTTGTTTTATGTGTTGTAAAACACGAATAACGACGTTATGGTCATTTGATACTCAAAGTTATCACACTCGATTTTGTGAACACGTAATGGAAAAGTAAATGTAATTCTGCTTACATATTTTCAATTTTGTGTATGCATATGCCCGCGTTCACGCATGTGTAAAGTATATGCTTATATATACCATGTATGTATATGTATGTCTAAATTTTATCCATATACTAACCTTTTTATTCATTCTTATTTATCTATCTATCTTTCTTCCATCAATAATTATAAACATGATAATAATGATAACCCAAATTTTTATCTACCTGTCTATTTAATCTCACTTATCTATCTATTAGTTTATCTATTCTTTTTAATACATCTATAAAATTCAAAAAATATTTTTCGCTTCTTATCCCTATCTCAAAGCATCAAAAACACACTCATTTTACATCCATCTACAACCACTCCTTTTACGCCCGTTTATTTACAACCACTCTTTTTACGCCCATTTATGTACAGCCACTCCTTTTACGCCCACTTCATTTACAACCACTCTTTTTACGCCCATTTATTTACAACCACTCCTCTTACGCCCACTTCATTTACAACCACTCTTTTTACGCCCATTTATGTACAGCCACTCCTTTTACGCCCATTTATTTACAGCCACTTCTTTTACACCCATTTACAAGCACTTCTTTTACGCCCATTTATTTACAGCCACTCCTTTCACGCCCATTTATTTACAGCCACTCCTTTCACGCCCATTTATTTACAGCCACTCCTTTCACGCACATTTATTTACAATCACTCCTCTCACGCCCATTTATGTACAGCCACTCCTTTTACGCCCATTTATTTACAGCCACTCCTTTTACGCCCATTTATTTACCACCACTCATACGCCCATTTCATTTCCAGGTGGGCGAGCTAAAAGACGTGTATCGCCTGGTAAAGCTGGACCACCCTCGAACCCACAAGAGAGACGCGCCCACGCTCACCCACCACCTCGCCAGCCAGGCCGAGGTCAGTGCACGCCCACGGTCGAAAGGGGAGGGGGGGGGGAGGGAATTTGCATGTGGAATATATCTCGTGTCTGGTTGCTGGATGCGTTCGGTTCGGAGGGGGTTTAAGGGAAGTTGGTTTTAAGGTTTTAAGGGTTTAAGTTGTTTTTAAGGTTTTGAGGTTTTTAGTTGGTTTTAAGGTTTTAAGGTTTTTAATTGGTTTTAAGGTTTTAAGGTTTTTAGTTGATTTTAAGGTCGGTTTTAAGGTTTTAAGGTTTTTAGTTGGTTTTATGGTTTTAAGGTTTTTAGTTGGTTTTAAGTTTTTTAGTTGGTTTTAAGGTTTTAAGGTTTTAAGGTAAGGTTAGGTTAGTTTAGGGTCAGGGTAAGTTGGGTTAGTTTAAGGACAGAAGAGATTAGGTTAGTTCAGGAGATGAATTGTTAGGTTAGATTAAGTTGGGTTTGGTTAGATTATGTTACGATCAGATTAGGTATTACAATAATTAGGTTAAGTTAGATTCGTTAATAGGTTAGTTTTGTTCAAATATTCTCACCGTCTCAATTTCGTTTTCAAATAATCCATTATGATAAAGTGTCCCATTTATAAACCCTGTAATATTCTGAAGCATATCCATAGCCGGATTATGACACTTTAGGGATCCTAGACTAATGATTTTATAACCCCCATCCCTGCTAATATGGAATGGGGCCCCATAATTTTCGGCTTGAGCCCCAAATAGGGACCTCTCAAAAAAAGCCTCAAACACGTGATCTTTACCTTTCGAAAATTGTGTTCTCAGACTCCCGGGCCTCCTATTTTTAAAGTTAAATGAAGTATTCATCAATGTAGAATATTAAAATATCCTACTCATCAACACACACACACACACACACACACACACACACACACACACACATATATATATATATGTATCTAAAAAATATGCATTGGCCCCTAAACTTCAGTCTAAGTAGCCTTAGAGAAAAGGCGATGCTGAATAGATCCATTTACCTATTATCCAGCTTGAGATTTGAGCATTAAAGTCATCGTGTGATAAATATCGAACAATATTTGAAGGTTCACTCCTTCTGTGATTGGGGAGACGTCATCACATCGTCTATTGATATTTAAGAAAGAGAGAGAAATAATGAAATAGTAAGGATAATAATAATGACAATAATAATGATAATTAATAATAATAATGATAATTAATGATAATAATGATAATTAATGATAATAATACTGATAATACTGATACTGATAATACTACTACTACTAATGATAATACTACTACTAATAATAGTGATAATGATAATCATAATAATGAGGATAATTATAAAAAATGATAACAACAAAGTCAACAACAACAATAATAATGGTAATGATGATGATGATAATGATACTAATAAAAAAATAATAACAATGATAAAAGTCATAATAATAATAATTATACTGAAAACGATAATGATGATCATGTTGATAATGACAACAATAATTATGATAACAATAATAATAATAATAATACGATAACAATGACAACAATTCTAATAATAATGATAATAGTTTTAATAATAATAATAAAAAAAAATAACAACGATAATAATAATAATAATAACGATGATAATAATGATAATGATAATTCTAATAATAGCAATAATAATGATAATAATAATAATAATAATAATAATAATAATAATAATAATAATAACAATAATAATAATAATAATAATAACAATAATAATAATGATAATAATGATGATAATAATAATAATAATGATAATAATGGTAATAATAATAACAATAATAATAATGATAATAATGGTAATAATGATAATAATAATAATGATAATAATAATAATAATGATAATAATGGTAATAATAATAACAATAATAATAGTGATAATAATGGTAATAATGATAATAATAATAATGATAATAATAATAATAATAATAATAATAATAATAATGATAACGATAATGACAATATTAATAATAATTCTTCTTCTTCTTCTAATTATAATAATAATAACAATTATGATAATAATAACAATCATGATAATAATAGCAATTCTAATAATAATAATGATGATAATAATAATAATAATTCTAAGGATAATAATAATAATAACAGTAATTCTAATAAAGATAATTCTAATAATATCAGAAGAATTACGCCTGGCACTTAACACCCGTTGCAGGTGTTGTGGGCAGAGCAGCAGTTCATCAAGGAGAGGACCAAGCGATCCATCCCTCCCGAGGCTGACGAAGATCCTGACGCGCCTCTCGTAAGGGTCAAGAGAATTTCTGGGTTCGAGGAAGAGGCAGAGGAGGACGCTCGAGGAGGACTCGGGCGAGGGAGAAGGTCGGCGCAGGCAGCGAAGGCCGAAGAGCTGGAGAGAAAATTCAACGACGAGCTCTGGGTTCATCAGTGGTACCTGGTGGGTCGTTATCGTACATCTGGCATCCGTTCATTTCGACTCATTTTTTTTTATATTTTCTTCTTCCGTTTTTTTATGTTCTTCCGTTTTTTTTTATGTTCTTCCGTTTTTTTATGTTCTTCCGTTTTTTTTTAATGTTCTTTCGTTTTTTTTTATGTTCTTCCGTTTTTTTTTATGTACTCTTTCTTTTTTCTTTTTGTTTGACAGTTGTTTTTGAATTGATTACCATTTCTCTGCTTAACTTGAGAACCCATTTATTTGATTACTTTATTTATCATTTCCCTTGTAAACATGATTCCACATTTATTTATCAACATGTTAGCATTTCTCTGGTTAATGTGACTCCCCATTTTCTTTCTCACTTTTTACAATTTCTCTGGTTCACGACGTGCTTCCCCATTTATTTGATCACTTATTACCATTTCTCTGGTTTACGCAACTCTCCATTTTCCTTTTCACTTTTCACCATTCCTCATATTAACTTGATTCCCCATCTATTTATTCACTTATTATAGTTTCTCTGGTTGACGTGATTCTCCTTTTATTTATCCATTTATTATCTTTTCCCTGGTTTTCCCCATTTACCCATTCACTTATTACCACTTCCCTGGTTCCCCATTTACCCATTCACTTATCACTATTTCTCTGGTTCCCCATTTACCCATTCACTTATCATCTTTTCCCTGGTTTTCCCCATTTACCCATTCACTTATCACCATTTACCTGGTTTCTCATTTACCCATTCACTTACCACCATTTCTCTGGTTCCCCATTTACCCATTCACTTATCACCATTTCCCTGGTTCCCCATTTACCTCTTCACTTATCACCATTTCCCAGGTTTTCCCCATTTACCTATTCACTTATCACCACTTCCCTGGTTCCCCATTTACCCATTCACTTATCACTATTTCTCTGATTCCCCATTTACCCATTCACTTACCACCATTTCTCTGGTTCCCCATTTACCCATTCACTTATCACCATTTCTCTGGTTCCCCATTTACCTATTCACTTATCACCATTTCTCTGGTTCCCCATTTACCTATTCACTTATCACCACTTCTCTGGTTCCTCATTTACCCATTCACTTATCCCCATTTCCCTGGTTCCCCATTTACCCATTCACTTATCACCACTTCTCTGGATAACCTGAGGCCCCATACACCCCTAGTACGACACCCGGACGCGACCTGACCTGCCCAAGCTAGACATGCAAGTCGTGCCCGTGTGGGATCAGGGAGTGACCGGCAAAGGAGTCCGGGTTCTTGTGCTGGACGACGGCATCGAGTGGCGACATAAGGATATCAGGGACAGTTATGTGAGTTCGGGAGAAGGATGGTGGAGGGAAAGGGTGAGGGAGGGAGAGGGAGGGAGAGAGGGAGAGACGGAAAGGGAGAGGGAGAGGGAGACGGAGGGAGAGAGAGAGAGAGGGAGAGACGGAAAGGGAGAGGGAGAAGGAGAAGGAGAAGAAGGAGAAGGAGAGGGAGAGGGAGAGGGAGAGAGAGGGAGAGAGAGAGAGAGAGAGAGAGAAAGCGAGCAAAAGTGAGAACGAGAACGAGAGAGAGACATCCATTCCTTAGAGAAATAAAATCTAAGGACAAAAAAAAGAAGAAACATCGCACAGAATCCTCACCACTACCACTCCCCCCTTCCCCCCTCCCCCCACAGGACAGGGAGACGAGCTACGACCTCAACGACAACGACGACGACCCTTCGCCCCGCTACGACGGCCACCTGACCAACTCCCACGGCACGCGCTGCGCCGGAGAGATCGTCATGGCGCCCAACAACAAGATCTGCGGCGTGGGCGTGGCGTACGGCGCGAAGGTGGGAGGTGAGGTCTATGCTTACTTGTGTATCTGAATATTTTATTAATTGGTTTATTAATATATTTATTGAAGTGTTTGTCTATGTATTTTATTTATTTGTTCGTATTTCTTTTCGTCCTTTCCTTTTTTTTCTTTATTCAGGTTTCTC